ACCTACACATTGAGGTGGAGAACTCCATTTTCCCAAGTAGCATGTTATCTCATTGTCTTCGGATATTCTGAAACCATCTTCACAAATATAACTTAATTTTTTACCATGTGCATAAACCTTGGGTTCAGTTGTATCTTCCATTTCATTTGAAGATGCAGATGAGTAAACAGTTCCATGCTCTATGTGAGGTGGTTGAGAACATGGAATTTTTTCTATGATATGAAATGAAAGGATAAAGCACAAATAGGTTGAATAAATTGAAATATAAAGTGAACTACTATTTTGGATTTTAAAATGGTATATTTAAAAAATAGCATTATTTGAAAACAAAATAATTTTGAATCTTGCAAGCATATGTGGCCTCATGTTATCATCCCCTTGCTCAGTATCTCCCTACATTTATGTCTTATTCATTATGGTTAGTAAACACATATAAAAAATGTTATCTAATAATTATATTATATCCCACAGGTGTTATTTATGGACAAAATATAGTGAAAGTGAAAGAATGCTGATTGACTTATGTGTCTAGAAAATAATTTATGGTTTTAGGATAAAGCAATAGATATAGAAGACGATCTTCATCTTGTTTATCTACAAAGACCATAGGAGAGCATACCTTATTTGAGAGAATCTTATAAAGCAATTTATACACTACTGACCAGCACATCGTGGCATATTTTTCCATTTTCCATTTTTGCATAAAATTTCTTCTTTTCCCTGAATTAGATAATTTTCTTGGCAGAGAACAGATACTTTTTCTCCATCTTGATAATTCACTGTGGTTGTCATATTCCAAGCATTGGGAATCTGAGGTGGAGGTGGGCATAATTGTATTTGTACATCTAAAAAAAATTAAAATTCAGCTTCTTGATTAATAACAACTTTCGATAAATATAAAATTCAATATATATTTCATAAATAATCATATAATAATGGCTATATCCTCTGTTTACATGTTATACTTTTCAGCTTGTATAGCAGTTCAATGCTATCACTTTTGGCTTAAATTCTCATACTTTTTCTAGTACTTTTTCCCATCTATGTTTTGCATAGGCAATCTTACATGATTTACAGGCACAATTTTAATTATTTCTAACCTTTTGGATGTTTAAACTGGATTACACACTCTCAATAAGAAGTATTAAATAAAAACTGATATCAGGATCTTTTACAGAGAGATCTATGATCAAACGTACTGGAATTGGATTAAAATCCTCACAAAATAGGTTGGTAATGGATTCTGATTAGTCAGAGGAAAAATTGCATTTAGTTAATAATTTGGATAATAGGAGAAGCATTAGATATCTTCACTAGAGTTATAGTGTGCTATTCAAAGTTGGAAATTCCCCCCAAACTTCCATTTACTATCTCATCTACACCATTTAAGGGTATATAAATTGATGGTATGCACTTAGTTTAATGTATCACACAGCCTGGCCTTAGTTATCTTATCAGTTATAAAAAAGACCTCTGTAAACATGTATAAGCGTCTATTAAACTGACATACTTTAGAATTATCTTGTTGGGTTCTTAATTTGAAGATGAAGCAAGTCCTGTGTGACTGAGGTCTCTGGATTTACCTGGAAGCATTCAGATCTTTAGATGTATGCTGTTTTCTATGTCTTGATTTTAATACCTATTGCTTTTATTCTGTTCTTTGTTTTCTATGCATGTTTTAGTACTATCTTTGCTTTAGCTCAATCCTATTGATTCTGATGTACACTGTACTCATTGTCATTTAAAGTAGTTTCTGATAGTAAGTAACCAAGTAAGAAGTTAACAAATATGTGAGATGGGCAAATAAGTTGAAGAATATTGTGGCACACTTTAGCCTAACTTTACTCCTGGAATATACACATATCTTTATGTGAAATGGAACCATCATCAAGATATACTATGTGATGTGCAACACAAAATGAATAAATTTCAAATTATGAAAGTCTTGTATTCTATGAAAACAGCAATAAATTATAAGTTAATTAAAATAAGTTATTTAGAAATGAAAATATTTGAAAGTTTATAAACAAACTATTAAATAAATATTACATCAAATAAATCACAAAAGAAATAAAAAAGCATTTGAAATGGTTGATAAATTAATAATATATACTTGTACATATATAACTTTATGGAGCATAGCTCGAGTAGTTTTTAAAAATGGATATTAGAAGTTTTATGTTTTAAATGTATGATATAGGGGTGGTGCCTGTGGCTCAAAGGAGTAGGAGACTGGCTCTATATGCCAGAGGTGGCGGGTTCAAAACCAGCCCTGGCCAAAAACTGAAAATATATATATATGTATATATACACATATAGGATAGTATAAATTCTATCTATTCTATGTATTCTATAAAGTATATGATATAAAGTATATTCTATACACATATATGATAGTATAAATTCTGTCTATTCTATATATTCTATAAAGTATGTAGTATAAATTCATATATACACATATATGATAGTATAAATTCAAATATATATGTATATATACATATATATGATAATATAAATTCTTCCATTTTCTGCCTTAAGATTGAAAAAAAATCAAAGTTAAAATCAAGCATCAGAAAAACTAAAACAGTAAGATAAGTGAAAAAGAGAAAACTTCCAAAGAAAAATAGAAAAGATAGAAAAATTAGAAAGCTACGCAAAGTAAAAAATAGAAAAGTGAGGAAATGGAGAGGATTAAATACATGAGTAGATGCAAAAATTTGCAACAAAATACTAGCAAAATATGTGTGTGTGTGTATATATGTATGTATGTATGTATGTGTATATATATATATATATTTTTTTTTTTTTTTTTTTGCAGTTTTTGGCTGGGGCTGGGTTTGAACCCACCACCTCTGGCATATAGGGCTGGCACCCTACTCCTTTGAGCCACAAGCACCACCCCAAAATGTGTATTAAAAGAATCATTTGAGAATGTTGTGAACAAGATGGATGACTAAAGGTGCCTGGTATTCATGCCCCCAGCAAAAAAAATTAATAAGCAAACAAAATCCAACTCATGTACAATGGAGATTACTGGGGTGTAACACAAAACCAATATAATCTCTGTAGGGCAATAAAACGCAGGATAGGACAGCACAATAAAAAAATTAGAGTGAAGTATTCTACTTCTGCTGCCCCATCTCCCACCCTGAGATTAGTTTAAAGCCAGGAGAGACCTCCTCTTACAGGGAAAAGTTGAGCAGAATTCTGGACCAAACCTGACATACCTCCATCCCAACCACAGACACCAGTAGCCATTGCTAAATGGGAATCACATAGTCCTCACAGGCCGTAAGCCAACTTTGAGGAGGCTCCCTGAAAATTCACATGGCTGCATTGCCCCTATTTAGAAGTCCATGTGAACACTCTTGGCCCAAAAGACTCCCAGCAAGCTCACCCCTGACCAACTGCAGGCACCACATGCATATGCCCTTATTTAAGAACTAGGCTGCCAGATTTGTCCCTGATGAGCTTCTTCCAAGATGGGCAAACCCAAAGCATGTGGCCTCTTAGCCTGAGAACCAACTTGGGGCTTCACTTTCCAAACCGTTGCAGCCACAATCTCCTGTGGCATAAACTGCTGAAGTACTCACAGATACCTGACTTGAACTGCAGAAAGAAGTTCTTTATTGAATCTGAAGAAACTTCTCAGAGACTACATTACTATGCACATGCAGGTAATGCACCTTACCCAAACAAAAATATAGAACATTTACAGGAAAAAGTCTCCTACAAAAGCTACTTGATAAAATTGGAAGAAGCAACTCTTTTATCAGATGTGCAGATATCAACATAAGGACACAAAAAACATAAAAAAGAAAAATAATTTACCTCCACAGAAACATAACTGTTTTCTAATAAAAGACCCCAAAGAAAACAAAATTTAAAATGCCAGAAATACAATTCAAAATAGTGATATAAAGGAGTGATATAAGTAAATACAGATAAACAATAACAGAACAGAAAGAGAATTTGTGGTTGGAAAAAGAAATTCAACAGAGATGAATATCCTAAAAACAAATAAATTAAAATCTTAGAGCTCAAAAATTAAAAAAAGAAATAAAAAATACATCTGAATACTTCAAAAATAGAATCTGTCAAGAAGAAAAAACAATTCTGAACTTGAGAATTGTTCCTTTCAAATAACCTCCTTAAAAAAGAAAGGAAGAATAACATGAGGTACCCCAAAAGTTATCATATTTAGGGAAAATAGGAAATTGTAGCTAAACATACATTTATTTACAAAATATTCATTGCAAAATTTCACGAGTTTCCCAACACATAAGGAATAGTTTGTAAATATTTTGTAAAATGTTGTAATGAATATATTGTACATAAAGTTATATTTAGCTATAATCTCTCAATGTCTGTTATGCATGGAAACTTTTGGGACATGCTATAGATTAAAGAAAGCCTATGAGACTTGTGGAACACCAAAAAATGAGCAAATTTATACATTATGGGTTTTATCAAGAAAGCTTTTTGTCACAAGACACACTAATTCCCAAGTTAACTGAAGGGAAACAATGATAAAAATCAGAGCAGAAATAAACAAAAGACAGCCTAAAAAGCAATGTAAAAAATCAACAAAATTAAGTGTTTTTTTTTTTAAAGATAAATGGGATTGAAAAACTTTTAGTTAGACCTAAAAAAAGGTGTGATTCAAATAAATAAGATCAGAGATGGAAAAGGACACCTTACAATTGGCATCATAGAGATACAAAAGACGATTAGAAAATAATATGAACAACTATAGGCTAACAAACAGGAAGATCTAGATGATATAGACAAATTCTTGGAAACATACAACCTACCCAGAGTGAATCAGAAAGAAATAAAACCTGAACAGACTAATAACGTTAGTGAGACTGAATCAGTAATAGTTTCCCAACACAGAAAAATTCAGGACCACAGAAACTCACTGCCTGATTCCAACAAACATTTACAAAATATTTATAGTTCCTGTTAAACTAGTCCAAGAAATTTAAGAGGAGGGAATTCTTTCTATTCATTCTAGTAGGCCAGCCTCACCCTGAAACCAAAACCAGACAAAAACACAAGAATGAGAGAAAACTGCAGGCCAATATCCCTGATGTACAGAGGTGCAAAAATCCTTAACAAAATATTAGCAAAACAAATGCAGTATCTTATTAAAAATATCAATGACTATGATCAAGTGGGATTTATCCATTGAAAAAATGATTAAACATATGCAAATTAGTAGATGTGATCCATAACATTATCAGAAAGGACAATAATCATGTGATCATTTTAATAAGCCTAAATATAAATGCTAAGACCTAAAGCTTCAAGAAAACTCTATAGAACATGTGCATGTCACTGCATGTAAATATCATTTGTTTCCTTAAAGACTCTACACATGTTGAAATGTAGATAACAGATTTGGCTTTTCTATGGATGTGACACTACTTTCTGTATATCCTAGACCTCAGATGTTGCTAAAAATACTGAGGCTACTGAGACAAAGTATCCCATTATGGGGCAGCCAACCACAGATATGAAAATTGGGAAGACTGGTATAAATTCTGCACTATTCAAGTGGTGTGTGAGGTGTCAAGATGACTCAGATTTCAAGATAAATATAGAATAAACAAGTATGTAAATAGATAGTCACATGGACAGACAGGTAGATAGGGATATATACACACAAGGACATTAACAGACATATAATAAAACCATACCCATAGATCTAGGTACAGGTTTGTAATAAAAGGAATTAGAAAAAATAGCACTCCAATAGTAAAGAATACATGTAGTGCCCAGATATTAATTTAAAATCAAGTTTATATGAGTTTTTAATATGAAAGATAATTAATGTACGTGATACAACTAGTGTTTAGACACTGTGTTTTTCATTAGTTTCTAAATTACCTTCCAGGTTAAGAAGCATCTGTAATAAAAAATAGCTGAATTTTTTATGAGTCACAAATATACTGCTTTCCCAAATGAGAAATAGAATATATTTTGAAAACATTGCAAATGAGACCTTACTTGTGCATCTCAGGGCAGGATCCCATCTTCCATTTACGCAGACTGAGTGTCTGTATTGTTCTCCACATCTGTACCTTATGCTTTCATTATGTTTAAATTCGTTCTTATGCTGTATATTACCCTCAATTATTATTTTTGGCCTTTTACACTTCTTAAGTTGATCTGTTGCTATAAAATGAAAATATTACCACAAAAAGACTAATTATGAGAATCAAAATAACTTTTACATAAACATAGTCTAATGTATCTATCTAGAAAAGTTATGACTTATGCTCATTAATTCCACCATTCAACTTATTCCTGATTACACTGAATAAAATGTACTATTATGTATGAACAAAAGCCCTGTATTCAAACCTTGAAATATCAGAAAGAATATCTTTTATGAAGATATTTTGTATCATGGGAATTGAAAATACGAGTTTACATTTTTGTATGATCTACATGGTGAATAGTCATCACATGACTAAATTTAGTCCCATATTTAGAATCTATGCAAATTTTCACATTCATTTGTTTTCCTTGCTTCAAAGATCATTGTATTATTTTAATCCATAATATGAAAACATTATAATAAAACATTGTGGGAATAGAATATAAGAAGCTATTAATTTAAATACATTTTTCAAATGAGATAGTGTAATAAAAATACATATAAGATAAATAGAAGATGAACATTCAAGCAGACCTTCTGTGTGATCACAAGAAAGGAACAAATACTTATATTAAAAAATTGAGTGCTTAAAGTTATGGCCATTTCTATTCAATATATTATCTTAGAGGCATTGAGAAGCTATCTTATAACCTAGATTATCCCAATATCCAATAATATTATAAAAATAATAATTATTAATAGCATCGTTATTAATTAAATATAGACTGTAGAAGTTTTTTTTTTTTTTTTTTTTTTT